ACCTCGGCGCCAAGAGGCCACGCCCCGCCCCGCCCCGCCCCGCCCGAACCGGCCGGACGACCGGCGCGGCGCCGCGCGGCGGCCCGGTGGTACGCGGCTCTGCGGACGAACGGCCAAAAGCAGCCGGCTGTGAATCACCACGGCCTCTGCGGCTACCTCCGGCCCGGCCCGGCACGCCCGGCCACACACACAGCGCGTCACCTGGCCCGCAAAGTCGACCGACACACTGAGGCGTCAGTTCGCCACACGCCGGCCCAGAGCGTTGTCGCTGTCCCTCTCACTCACGCGGCCTTCCGTGTGGGTGGGAGAGAGACAGCGACTCTCAGTCTGCAGCAGGCCCAGGATTAGATAGTCCCAACAGGATAAGTCGCAACACCGGCAGCAAGCGCGCGGCGGCGCACGTCGCGCCAAACTTGACTCACGGCGAGGCACGGCGTCGACCGCGCGGCGCGCCCCCAGAGCACCCCGACGGCCCCGCGCGACAGAGCCAGAAGACGGACGGGCACGCACTTGGGAGCGACGCGGCCCTCCTTCGGGCCCTGGCCGCGGCAGGCCGACGTCGCCCCCATGGCACGCCGTGCGGGCGCGAGAGAGACAGAAAGCCCTGCTGGGCATCCAGCCCGCTGCTGGAGCGGCCCGGCCCGGCGGCCCGGCGGATCAGGAGGAACTGAATGGGTCATTTCCGGCGGCCCATGCGCCGCAACGCCTCGCCACGCCACGCCGGCAAGGCGGTTGCGCGCTGCACTGGAAGAACGCGCTGCACTGGAAGAACGCGCTGCGCGCCACGCCGGCGACGCCCTCCGCAGCCCGTCCGAGAAAGGGGCGAAGCCGGCAAGAAAAACCCGCAGGGCCGGGGCTCGAACCGCGGACCGCGCCCGGCGGTGGCGGCGCGACTCGGCGCGACCACAAGCCGACGGCAAGCAGTGCAGCGACCACGCGGGGGAATTCTCGCAGTATCGCTCGCCCAGCCGGCCGGCCGGCCTTGACTGCATCGAAAAGGAAAACAATCGGTTCCTGTGCGGACTGATTCCGAGAGCAGCCGTCTTCGTCGTTCCGTCTCCCTCGCACTCGCGTCCCGGACAGGCCCGATGAGAGGGACAAGACGACTCTGCAGGGCGGCGAACAGGGTGCGCGCCAACGCCTTGCCGACTCATTCCGAGCAGGCGGTCTCTCTCGCACCCCAAAGGCCCCGCGAGTGCGAGAGAGACAGAGCCCCGCTCGGCATCAGCGTGCGGGGCGCGGTCTCTGCGCACCTCCGGCGGACGTGGCACACGCACACACTAACACAGTCGTTTACTTAGTTAGGCCCCAGAGCCAGGCCCGCGGGCTCGCCGGCGCGGTCAGCTGTGCCGCTGCGAACGCCACGCCCCGCCCCGCCGCCGAGCGCGGAGCGCCACCCACCCGGATTCAGAGCATAGCGCCCGGCCTCGAGGCGAGCTGCGCTGCGCCACTCTTAAATAAGCAAACCCGGCCAGTCGACCAGCTTGCCAGTGGCGCAGCACGGCCGGCAGGCCACGCCAAGTCAAGGCACCCTGGCGCCGGGGTTGCAGGCAACACGGCCAACACGGTCGCCTCCGCTCTGCCTCTCTCGCACCCCTAACGAGCGCGACACAGGCGACATGACGTCCCTCTCAGCGGCCTGCCGGCCTGCCACTCCACTGCGGACATGATCGACGTGCTCGCGCTCAAGTGGCGTCCGACTCCGTCCGGCTGGCCGACGGGCAGGGCGCCACGCCACTGCCAAAACAACAGGCGCCACTACAGCCGAAAATACTACAACTCGAGACGCAGGCCGCGGTGCCGCGGTGGCAGCCACACTGCCGTTTTCGCGGCCGCGTATACTCCATGACGCGCTCGCCGCGCAGGTGTGTGGGTGCGCGACAGACTCAGGCCCCCGCGAGTGTGAGAGAGACAGGGCGACGAAAACGACTCTCGGAACGAGTCGGCACCGTACGGTGGTATAGTGTCGCGTAAACACGCTCGAAACGACACAACTTGTTGGTGCGACCGGCCACCGCCCTGGCACTGCACCGCCCTGCACTGCACTGCAGGGCGGGGCCGCCAGCCAGTTGCATCGTTACGTCACACTGGCCGCCGGTTCTCCCTGATAAATTGGCACGCGCCGCTTCCATTCGATTCGCCGCGCGCCACAGGCGCTGCACTGCACACACAGACCGGTGTCTCTCTCTCTCTCTCTAGCACCCCTCCGCGACACTGCACGGGTGCGAGAGAGACGGAGCGACGCCGTTGGCCGAGTCGCTGTGCAGGGTACGTGTGCAGCATGCGAGCCATTCACGCTCTCGAAAAAAATGGCATCTCCCGCCTCGCTTGCACACAGGCAAGGGCCTTTACAGTGGGGCAATGTGTGCGAGTGGAGCGGCGAAACGGATTGCGACATTTTCACCCGTCGCCACACCAGTAACAGAGTCGGCTGTCACATTCATCCAGCAGCGCGAAGCCCTGCCCCGGGGCCTTATCAAAACGAAAGCAAAGTTTTGAGCCGTCGCGCGCAAAGTTTGAGGGACTTCCAGACAAAGATTTTGGCGGGCGGCAGCATCGGGGTGGCGGCTGGCGGGGACGGTTGAGTAATCGAAGCGAGTCGAGCGCGAAAACACCTCAAGGAGAGGCCCAGGCTGCCCAGGCCGCAGGCAGACCTGATTCCGAGCAGTGCGTCGACGGGCCGACCCACGAGTGCGAGAGAGAGAGAGACAGTGAGCCAATTCCTTGCTCCTCTTCCCCGCCGTCTTCCAGACAGGTTGCTCCTCTCCGGCCCGCCGCGGCCCGCTCCAGCCAGACTCCAGGTGGGCCGCCGGAATGTGTAGCAGTGTAGCGGACGGCGGGGCCGGGCGATGAGGCAAAGGCCGAATGAAGGCAGAGCGCGGACGGGCCCGGGTTCAACCACCGGCACAGGCAACGCCTTTTTCGGGTGTCCGTCAGACGCGGAATCTCGCTAATTCGTTTCTGAACTGTCGGCGCACAAAACCGTGCCGGCATGCTGGTTTCCGTCGCGCCGTGAGTGCGAGAGAGACAGGCGACATCGAATGCACACGCCGCCTCGCTGTACGGCGACGGCGAGCTGCAGAGCGCTGCAGAGGGGGCGTCGCGGGTGCTCTATCCACCGGCCCGATCGGCTACAACTAACTATGTAGGCCCCCAAGCCCAGCCCCGACAAGCCCCGACAGGCCCCGAGCCAGAGGGGACCAGGGGGCCGCGCACCGCCATGGGGCACCGCGCCGTACCGCGCCACGGGGACGCTTTCTCGCTCACGACGGCGTGCTCGTGCTCGCCCAGGAAAGGGGCGTCGCCTCGATAGCGACACCGTCGCCGGCCTCGCCACCCGCGACGTCCGGGACGCAATCCAGGTGCACGCGTCGCCGTCCTCGACGCCGTCCTGGACGCCGTCCAGTACGTGGTCGTTGCGCGGGGCGGCGCAGGGTCCCCTCCTCGCACGACCCGGGTCAATATTTGACAGCGGAACCGGAAGCGGCGCGGCGGTCGCCACACAGGCAGCCACACTGGCAGTGACTCTGGGCCAAGGCAACCGGGGCAGCAGGGGCAGCGCACGCCGTTCGCAGAATGCAGCTTTCAATTTTCAAAGCCGGCGTCCGGATCATGGCGCAAAGCCATGACTCTAAGGTTGATTTGTCGTGGGTTTCGCCGAGCGCGGTGCACGCCGCAGCACATCGTGCGCCGCGTTTGACACTTGTTATCTGCCCCGCCACGCCCCGCCAGGCCTCGTCGCCCCGCCCCGCCCCGCCACGCCCCTCCCGATGTGTCGCATCGGACCACGCCGCTGTGCCGGCATCTGTGAGGCCGCCGAAGTGGGCGGCACCACAGCAATGCTGCGCGTACTACTCGGAAAATAAAAGAATATAAACAACATTTAAATTTAAAATGGAGCTGCGCTCAAGGGTCTTAGGTTTGCTGGGAAGACCTTGACCTAGACAATTGACAAGGAGATAGATCCCATGAAAACAGAGAACTCCTGGTTTAATAAACAGAGCAGCGATTATGATATTCCATCAAATCATGAAACATACACGCTCTCCAGATTATACAGCCTGGCATGTCCTGCAGGGACTGGCAGGGGCTACAGCGCTACAGGACAGGTCGGAGGGTCAGGAGCAGATCTGACAATGACAGCTCCATCAAGCCCACTCAATAGTTAGCTGTCATGGTCATGGCCTCACTACAAAGTAGCACTAGACACAGTTTTAACCAGCTGATATTGACATCTGAAAAGAAGTATCTCCTGCAAACTGAAACTGGTGTACTGGCTTGGAATGAACGCAGTACTAACTCCTACCAGATTGGGCTCTGACAATGTTTACGTTCCATCAGCAAACTGTCAGATCAGATCAGTCACCAGCCAGGGGACTACAAATGCAAGCCTAGCAAGTGATTTACAACAATAGCAGTCATCTAACTGATTGTCCATTCATAGGCCAAACCAGAGCAGAAGCCTGGTGCTCCGAATCAATGAAAGCAAAGCACAAACTCTGCACAATGACTGAGCCCCTGGGCAAGGATTGTAATGAAAGACTGGTGGTGTGAGGGACCACTAATCCTGGCTTAGCTGCCTGACAGCAGAAACGCCCTTGCAGATACGCCGGCCATCTGACAGCTAGGACAGCACAATTTGTGGCATGAACTCCAGGTGCAGCAGGTCCCCGTAGTCTCACAGCCCTTGAGCCTCCAGCTCTGGCCCAGCAAGAGCAGCGACGCGGCGACTCGGCGGCACCGAGACCGAGGTGCGCCTTTGAGGTTAGACTCTGCTGGCCTGCAGTGCTTTGGCCCAGCCTGGCCGAGCCGGACGGATGGAGCTTGCAACGGCAACGGCTACGGCCAGCCAGACAGGTGTGCCGCCTCCCGTGACCCCAGCCCCCCAGCCCAGCCCGGGTCACCCGCGCCTGGGGCCCCAGGACCAAGACGACCCAGCCCGCCCCACGGCCCCACGGGCCCAACGGGCCCAACCCCTCCAAACTACGGGCGGTACTTACAGTCGAGATGTTTCTTCTTCGGCCCGATCATTTCTTCTGTCGTGGCTTTGCATACCGACTTGGCCAGCCCCTGGCCGGCGATGCTGTGTCGGGCGGCGAGTAACCTGTCACTGATTGTCTGCCCCGCCATGTCGGAGCCGCGGGCCTTTGGTCTTTTACACTCGCGATTCGACTGGGTGACGGTACGGGACGCTCGGCGCCGCTAGATCACTTGGCCTCGGGGCCTCGCGGTTGTCCCTCGCAGAAAGCGGCAGGCCCGAACCGTGTGCACACTGCACAGCACACGGGCAATTCAGTGTAGAGCGGGGCAGCTCTCTGCGCCACTACTGCTCACTGCAGCGAAATGGCGACCAACTGACAAGCAGGTCGTGACGTCACGGCCACGACGGTGGGCAACAACAGAAGTGCCAACGAACGGCCACCCGCTTAGGAGGCGCGTCCGGGACGGACCGGAACGTGCAAGTTTAATTCAAGGGACAATTTACGACTTAATTTCGACGTGCGAATCCGCGAAGCGACGTGTCATTCGGGAAAAGATGATTTCGCTGACTTGACTTGTCTTTCAGGCTGGCCCCCGTCTCACGTCGTCTGCTAAAATGGCCCTGACACATTGTTGGCCGTTCAGCTTGAAACCAGGGCAGGAATTTCCTCGCAAGGAAGCAATTTTACTCAAATGTTTTTTTTTTTACGTCACGGTTTGGTGCTTTGATATTAACTCAGTTGGTCTTGACAACTGTAGAAAGCCATTGGTATTCATTGTGCGTGGTTGGTAGGATCGTATTCGATTCACGGCGCGGAAGGGCGCCAAGTTTGAAAACGATCTTTGTTTGGTTTGGGGAAGTCAGCAGTCTCCTCGGGGTGTTTGATTCAAGGCAAAAATAAAATTCAAAACAGCGGATACATAAGAATGTAGGTTATTATTTTTCTCCTATTATGACCATTTATTACAAACTAAGAATTGCTGTACTGTACTTTCAGGCATGATTGAGCCAAGTCATTAATCAGAGACCCTTGCAAATAGGAAACTCACTTTTAAAGGAGTAACACTTTTCACTGAGATCAAGGTCTTTGCAAAATGCTTATTATTTTATACAAGAAGAAAAAAAGAAACATTGAAACATTTGTGACATTATGAATTTAGGGGTGAAAACTCCACATACAGAAACTGCACATAAGGATCCATTTCTCTTGCAAGCGCTCCTTGGCAAGTGAAAATTATAATTGTCTTGAAATTTAAAATGCATGAGACAAATGGCATTCAAGACATCACTGCAACCAAACAAGTCTGAGATACAAAGGGAATCTTTAGTTTAAACAAAAATATGTACACTATAAGAAAACATAATAATTTGCACAAAAACGCCACAAAAATGGCAAAGCTGTCAAGGTACAAAAGACTCAGCTCTCTTCCATAGAACCTTCAGCTGGACTTGAAAAGAAACATAAGTTACATTAAATTGATTTTACAGGGAAACACAACTAATATATTGCACTATCAGGTTCACACCAAAACAAAAAAAAATTCAAGATTAAAAAAATTACATGACAACAAAACAACTTTAAATATTTTGTATCACATATGAAGTCATCAAACCATGAACACTAGTCCTACATCATGACTAATTTCAAAACTACTTTTTTGGTCAGGTAAGTAAGACTTACAAAATTGCGTTCAGGTAGAAGAAAAAAAAAAGGTTGTCTTGAAACTATAACTAATACTTCTTCAGTGCCTTTCGTATCAAAGCAAGTCTCTGTTTGTGAGCTTCCGTCATAGCTGCACGTTTGAATGGACGAATCTCATCATTACCAAATCCAGGTATCCACATATTCCAATTGCGCTCTGAAATTCCAAGCGATATAATAAGAACAAGTAGAAGTATTAAGTTAAAAAATGTAAAAAGAAAAGTGAGAACACGCCTTACCTAAATGTAGTTGCACGTCCTTGACATCGATTGTGCTTGCTTTGCGATGTTTGGCAAGGAGACTTGCTGAGTTTACAGCAGTTTCTACAAAGTCATCAGCCAGCTGCATGAGCAGTTCCTCTACTTCATCATCTAATTGAACATTGGGGTCAATCTCCCTCACCAAGTCCTGTAATCTTGCTTTGCTCAAAAGCTGGCCCAGGAAAAATTGAAACAGAGTCAGCAAATATACTAAACAATACAGTAACACACCTTTTAATTAAAATTCTAATATACCTGTGCTGGTGCATCAGATACCGTATTAGCTGTCGATGAACTGGCAGCTTGACTTTTGGCTGCTATTGAACTTTGAACAGGAGGAGCAGGCACACTTGCTGTGAGGGCAAAAGTACATTTAAATTCAGAGAACTCAAAGTACTTCCCATATGAATATAGTAGTAATAAAGTATTAATAATATATTTACGTTGGATTGGCGTTGCAGGGATGGTTGGTAGTGTTGGGGTGGCATTGCTGGCTTGTAAAACATTTCCTAGTTGCATAGTTTGCATTGTGTTGGTATTGGGCAATGAGCTTATAACATTAGGGCTTGGGGTAGTGTCCATTGGAGTTGGCAAGGTACTTGCTGGCATGAGCGGCTGCAACAGAAACATGCCATGTTAATAATTAGATAATTATAAATTATTTAAACTTCGATAAAGAATATTTCACAACTTGAAGACATGCAGTACAACACAACATCTTAACTAAAGCTTACAGGAGGTTGAGCAGGCAAGTCCAGGGACTGAGTCGGATCAAGGCTTGGAAGAGACATTTTGTTTGAAACTCTGAAGTCAAACGCTAGCTGCAGGAACCTGAAAAACAAAAAATCCACTTCATCCGGAAAATAGAGGCACGAAAGCATGTGTAATTTCCCAAGAAGCCTTCAGGTTTTGTGACAAAAGAATAATCTAGAAGACAAAAGTAGCAAGACTTGGCTAATAGGCACAGGCTTCCAACATGAAGCACTTCTCGCATTATTGGTAGAAAACACTCAAAACAGAAAAATAAAAGCATAACAAACAGCTTTCTGTCCAGAAAACGAATCAGCAGGTTTAAGAACGATTTCTAACATAGGTAGCAATAATGGAAGAGGTTATGTAGATAAAAAAAGGCACGATCTAGGGTCAAAATAAAGCACAAAAAGACAATTATAAATTTTGGTTAAAAATAAAACCAAACTCCCACAATGGTATGAGTTGTATGTACATGAAAACATCAAATTACCCAAGAAAAATATAAGAAGTGTCACTCAAACAAATTTTATTTGTGTCGACTGCCGCTGTTGTGTGTACTCCGGAGCAGGAAACCCACACAGAAAAACACTCGTAAAATGTAATGACGATCGTGATTGATTAAGTAACAATCGAAATTTTATTTTATTATAATTGCATTAAAATGCTACAGTGTAGAAAATCTTTTGATAAAGTACTTGTTTTGTGCTAGTAACGCAATAAAGTTTTTTGTTATAAGGTTTCATAAACTGCTTTTGTTTGTTCTGCTTCTTCTCTTCTGCTGCAGCCTTAGGAATCACCGCCGTCTCGCGGTTTCCACGGCACACTTTCCTTGTTTTTGTGTCAAATCGGAGACTTGTCACGTTAAAAGACGGCGTCCGTCAACAATGAAGTGACAACAATGCGTCTGGGTCGCAGGTACGCTTCCCTCGAGGCACAAGGTCGGCGAGAATCGGCGACGGCATGAATGGCCGCTCGGGGGAGAACGGGCGAGCGATCCGTGACGTCACGCAGCAGAGGCAGAGCAGACAGCCAATCGCAGACGGCCTCAGCGGCCCCCTTTGCTTCCAAACAGAAACAGCTGTCAGAGAACCTCAGTCGCGTTGCGAACGGCGAAGGCATCGTCCGTGCCGCCCTCGTCGCCAACTTGACGCTGCGTCGAGTGTGTTTTAAAGTGATTTGCGGCCAAATCACGCGTACTGGCTCCATGTTGTAGGCGAGGTTGCCACCTCAGAGTGTTGGTGCAAGTGCCACTTTGGTGGAAAAGTGTTGTGTGATTGTTTGGTTTGTTTCTCTCGGATTTTCTTCATCACCTGGAGTAACAGAAATCTTTTGCTGTATTCGAGATTTCGACCTGAATTGAAGGTATTTTAAGATAGCTCGTATGAATGCATAGTTCATTGTAAGGTTTTTGTTGTGTTATTGTCAGAGAACTTCAGAAAAAAATTAAGCCTTTTCCTTGTTCCTTAGACTATGCGCTAATTATATTTATGAATAGGAAGAACAAATTTAAATATTTAATGAAGGCGTATGATTTGCCTTTGCTAATATCAAAAGATTTAGCAAAAATAGAGTTCAAATTTTTAATTCAAATTCTTAGTTACTTATCCGATTTATTATCTTGATACCATTTTCTAGAAATCGTGTCTTTCGGGATTCTAAATGTCTTTGTTATCAAGTTGATTGAATACATAGCAATTATCGTACTTACCCATTTGAACTACTACGCTGCACTTTCAATCCTGTTAAATACAATATTTTAAAAATTCCCTAGTGCAAGTTTTTCCCTGTACATCTAAAGGTCGGCATTGTCATCCCCCTAATCTTTCTGAGTCTGCGCACTGCATCCACAATAGTTGGCGTGGAAAAATATTGACCGTATTCCGTCTATCTTGCAAGCAAATCTGTGGCCCCTCACCCTCATGAAAGCTGTGTGTCCACGTCCGTGTTATCGGGCAAGGGCCGTGGTGCTAGTGGCTGGTGCAGTGGAAGCAGTGGCAAGCAGGCTAGCCCCAAGTCCGTGTTTTTGTTATCTGTCCCTGCGCTCTTGCCGGTCCCGACGCGTGGCTCGCTCTTCGCCACCACCGCTCGTGCGAACAGTAGCTTCGTCGCTCTGTCTCTCTCGCACTTAAGTGGGAGGCCCCATGAGTGCGAGAGAGACAGAGTCCTCCTGCAGGACCAGCCAGGACGCCCAGCCAGGACGCCCAGGACGCGCGGAGTAATGAGGAGCGCGGACGAATTGTTTATGACTAACAGCCGGGGAAGCCCCTTCCGTTTACATTCCCGGGGGAAGCGCACACACTGCACACACAGAGACAACGCGCCCAGGGAATTCTGCCCTGGTCTGGCAACGCTGCACTCTCAACCCGCGATGTAAACACGCGGGGAACACGCCGTGATGCCCAGTCCGCTCAGACTGCTTGCTGCTGGGTCCAAGCCGCCCCAAGCTCTGCGAAGCTCCCCGAGGCCGGTTCATCTGGCTGGACTTGCAGGTGCGGATCCAGGACTTTTACCAGGAGCGGTAACGTAGCGCTCTTTGCCCACTTGCAGGGGCGAAGCAGTGATTTTGCCCCCACTTGATCCTCCTGGTTCCGCGCCTGCCAGGATGCCGGGGTGAGCAGCTGCATCAGGACGATCTAGGGCGATCCCGACAGTGGCGTGACAAAGGCCGTGATGTCCCGAGCAGGATCAGCCGCCCTCTTACGGAACGCCCCACGAGTGCGAGAGAGACAGAGCGAGGCGGTTTTTGGCGTGTGGCCCAGGTGCGGGGCGCGGGACTTCGGCGGCCCCTTTTCGATTCGGGGCTTTGCCGCTTTGGGGCCGTCGGGGTCGCCGCTGCACTTTCATTGAACCGCGGCGCCGCGCCGTCCACCCCCACGGCCGCCCCACCCCACCCGCCGGCTCCTCCACCGACGCCGTGCTGTTCTTTACGGGCAGACAGCGTTAGGCCCCTGCGTCAATCCGGCAACACTGCAGCGCCGCCGTGCGAGCATGGAGGGCCCCCGCAACCCCACCAGCCAGGCGGCCGGGCCTCTAGCCGACCCACTGTGGGGCCGCCACCGCCATCGCCCGGCTGGGCAGCCTGGCCTGCGCGTGGCGGCCGCCGTGCCCTTTGGCTGCCGGGCCCACTCTAGAAGCCAACCTGGTGGTCGTGGCGGTGGAGACCGTGAAGGCGGTCCCTGGCCGCGGTCAGCCACTGCCGGGGCGGGGACGCAATTTTAGTGGCTAGTACTAGTGGCGCACGAATTCCAGCTTCTGTTGTTTCCAACTGCGAGGGAGGGAATTTAATGAAACTGACCGCTATTTATAGGCGCCGTCTCTCCTGCTGGCTGGCTCTGTCTCTCTCGCAACCATGGGGCGCTCCGTCGCGGTTCGAGGGAGACAGCGCGACGAGAGCACTTTTCGGACGGAATCGTCCTGCTGCCCGCCCTCTGCGTGGGGCCCGTTTCAGCTAGTTTTAGCGTGGCGGTGCACGAGCTCTCCTCCAGGCCTCCAGCCGCGCCTCCAGCCTCCAGCCTCCAGCTTCCAGCGCTCCAAACTCGATAACGATAAGCGCGCCGGGCGAGCGATGCGGTCCGCGGGACGAGAGGGAAAACGGGATAGAAGAAAAATAGAGAGGGCAAAAAAGAACGAAGCGCGGTATAAGCGCGGGAGGAGACAGGTCGCTCCTTTTGTCAGCGGCGCCATGCGCGGATTCCCCCCCCCCCTCCCCTCTCTCGGCCCTCTCGCGTTCAATATAAAGCATGAGAAGGCCGTTTACGCCGCTTTGTACACTCCCCCCTCCCCCTTGTATGAAGTCGCTGGTATGACACCCGCGCCTTTGTCGACCGCGCCGTCCCGTTCGACAAAACCTTTCCAGTGGAGCGGACAGGGCCGCGGGGGGGGGGGGGGCATCGCATTCATACGGCGCATACGCCCGGGCTGCTTTTCTCGCAAGGTGGATGTGCGCGTGCAATTCTTGGTTCGCGGCACTCGCACATTATTACTGTTGTTGTTGTTGCTGGGGACGCATCGAGTCGGTGGCGATGTTGCCTGCGGCGTTTCGCTTTGGTATGGCCGGACTGGAGGAGAATGCTGGAGAATCCTGGATTGAAAGGGTCTCTGAAAAAAAAATCGCAGAGGCGTCTGCAGGAATAAGGGTCCCGTCCCTGCGGACGGTTCTGTGGGGGTAGAGCAAAGAAAGGGGGGGGGGGAATGCCAAGGGTCGTGGTGGGTTCTAGAGGGTTCTGGGGACCTTGGTGGCACCTGGACTGTGCGCGGGTCGGGTCCGCGTGACAGGAGCGAACTTTGAGGAAGCGCTGCGTCGTCGTGGTCGTCACTGCGGCCTGACAGTTTGGTCTACGTGCTTTTGCCTACTTTTCTATCAAGCAGCGTGGAGTCTCTCAGTCTCTCTATCGCGTTGACGGGGTCCGCGGCCTCGCGCCGTGTTTGCAGCATGGGAATCCGCGCCGCTCGGCCTCCGCCTTATTTTCGTTTTCATTCCACTTTCCCCGAATTTGGTTCGAAGCGGCGCTGCTTTCGCGGGTCGTGCCAGCATCTCCCGCCTCGCGTCGTGTGAACCGCGAACAACGGTCAAGCAGCGGCGAGCAGCGCGGCGACGTGTCAACAAGGGGCTGCGGACGCCGCACTCTCTCTCTGTCGCACTCGAGGGTCTCCCCGCGAGGGAGCGAGAGAGACACCGACAAACCGACCTTCCGAATCGCTCGGCAAGGCGCTCTGCTTCCTCTTCTCCTTCTTCTCCTCGGGCTTTAGCAGCAGTTCGTTGCGTCACTCTACTCGTGGGAACCGAGGCAAACTCTTGCTTCTTTCTCCTCGTTCTCGTTCGGACTCTATTTACTCCTGTCTGCCTCTTTGACGCGGGGGCCGCGGAGGTGACAGCCGCACGCCGTGGGTAGGGTACCCAGTTTGAGTTTTACGTGCGGCCAACTCGCTAACTCCGCACCGTGGTGGTGCCCAGTCTTCGTCCGCTGTGTTGTGTTTTTGCTCCGTATGCGGGTTTGCCCGCTACACTGACAACTCACGCGCGCGCACTCACACACACACTCAAACGCTCACACAGATGCGGTCAATGTACCCTTCATTTTGCGGGCACGCCATGGTGTGGATTCATGTGTCTCGGTTTAAAGGCCCCTCCCCCTTCCCCTCCCCCCGGCGACCTCCGCCTCCGCGGTTTGGATGTCGTCGCGGAGACTTTGGCTGACCGCGAGTGTGTGGCCACACATGTTGCAACGACCCGATAAGGCTGGGGCTCGGCTGCAGACTGATTTCGAGAGTCGTTTTCGTCGCCCTGTCTCTCTTGCACCTACACGGGGCGCCCATGGGTGCGAGAGAGACGCAGCGACGAAACGGCTCGGGAATCAGTCTGCGGGGCCGATTGGCCGACTTGCTGATGCCGTAACGCGGCGCTGACCTGCGGCCACCCTCGTCGTGCTCCCTGCACCGCCGTGCCGAGCCGTGCCGAGCCGCGGTCGTTGTCCTGGCGGTGGAGACCATGGCCGTGACGGGGGCTGCTGGGCGCGCTGGCGGGGCGCCGAATGAGCCCTTGGAGCCCCCCGTCCTGGAGGGGGGCCTCTCGACGCCCTCGCCGGTCTCGCCGGGGCTGCGGGGGCGACGCTAAGCGGATCATCATCCTGCCATATTGATCGTCCAGCAGCCAGCGCGCCAGCGGCCGCCCGGGAAAAGGGTTACAGTGTGTGGGAGGGGTGCGCGACGGCGCGTGGCGCTGGACGCGCTGCGTGGAGGCTTACAGCCCTTCCAGCCTTCCAGCGCGTGCAGCCGCCAGGTGTTTGCGGTCAGGACCTTTCGCCGACCCGCGCCTTGTCCGACAGTCTGGGGCAAAGCAGATTTTGTCCTCTCGCAGCAGGTGTGTCTTTTTGCCTAGCTTTCAGACGGTCAGTGGAGGGCCTCCGCCTTGCTCGCCCTCCTCGCCGCTGTGTTCGTGGTGGCGTGGTGGCGCTGGTCGCTGCGAGGCTACGGCGGTGGCGCGTCGCGTCCACAGCGTCCCACGTTGGGGGTGGGAGGAGAGGGAGTCTGCCGTCTGCAGCGCGCGGCCAGCGAGCGATATTGAATTTTACACTGTGCTTTGTTTTTGCTTCCCACGGCTTCGGCGATCGCTGGTCCCCCCCCCCCCCCCCCAGCCAGCCTGGGGCCCCAAGGCGCGGATGGATGGACGGGTCAGGGCGGATGGAATGCCTGGCTAGGCTGGGAATGCCGACGCCGTTGCTTCGGTTTCTCGCCTGCTGTTAGGGTGGCGTGGTGGCACCATGGCGATCCCACTCGGGGGGGGGGGGGGGGCACGGCAGGTGGCGGCTGTTGACAGGCCGGGGGCAGTCTGCGCCGTCAACACGGGCTCCGTGAGGGGCAGG